AGCGTTGTCTGCCAGTAGGATGAGTAAATGATAGGAATCACCCTACTTATATCGTGGGAGTTAAATTTATCAGATCACGTTGCGTCGCATTTCCGAAATTTTACCCACGAAACCTAAGCATGCAAGTCATGAGCACTCCCATTTACCATTTCGTCTACGCAAATCCGTCAGTGACTGTGACTACGGTCTCTGGAGTAAATGTTCAGGTAGCACCTTGGGAGGGGGGGGGGCAGGCTAGAAGGAACTTGGATAACGCGGGGTGGAAATGACCCGAACAAAAGCGGACTTGTAGACAATCTTTCCCAATTGCCAAAAGTGTACCTGCCTAATCTGAGTTTCAAACTGGCCAGTTCATGATCACGGCCTGATGGCGCCGGTAGTTCTACCAATCGAAGGTCACCATGGAGCATATTCATTGAGATCTCATTGTTCCCTTCGCACACACTACAATGGAAGTGTCAGTGTAGTTGGGTAGGCAACCATTTCGCCAGATGGATGCTTCACGGCATTATTGCAACGGCGACATCTCAAAGGCCCAAGTTGGTCATCTGTGAAAGTCACTACCCTTATGATGATTAGCTTTTTGTTGCCCGTACATAAGATGCATTATTAAGGGATGAGGGCCCTGAGAAAGTCTTGCCATCAGAACATGATATTAGACGAAGAAGCTGTTGATGCTCTTCAAGTGTTCCTCGCCATAATTTAATCCAGGCCAAGGGGTGTGGCGGTACGTCTAGGTGCGTGTCTGGCCCTGCCAGCTACCTGCGCCCCCTCCCGCCTCCGATCTTCTAGAACTGATTACTTGCTACGCATTTCATCTTATTCCATACCTGGACGTACTTATTTGCCGACATCCTTTTTCCGGTTCACTAAATCGATTCATATCCCTGTTATTGTCTTACATATTTCTTTTATAAGAAGTGGATTTTTGCTTGGACAGGTTAATTGCTCATCTGAAGTTTCTTGGCGTTATTGTTTTACTATCTCTGTGTATACCACTTCCAGCATTAGAGTAGACTGCTCCAAACTTATTTTACTCCCAATCTCAACAACGTTTTGATAATAAACCTTTTATA